AACACATTACCAACACTTAGTGCTAATAGATACTTACCTAAGCCGTAGGTGACCAGTACGTTGAAATGAGTGATCAAAACGATATGTAGGGTTCTTCGTATGAGCATTTGACACAAAGAACATTTCCAAGACAGTAGAATCATTGCAGATATCTTTTCCCTCTACTTCAGATTGGAAAATTGAACAAATTATGCATTTTATTCCATAATTCTGTGAATTATATAAGTAAATGAGTTACAAAACCCCATACAGATCCACCAACTAAGGAATGGGAAGAACCATAACGCAGCATGCCTCTTTAGAAGAGCTTTTAGAATATGGCGATTCTGACCAAACGAAAAGATACTTTGTAATATTGTGACAGCGCCACATATCGTTAAATGTTTGAAGCAATAAATACTAAATTGTTCCGTAAAGATGACAGCAAAGTATTGAAACTTCAAGTGTATTTAATTTGCAATCGGATAGTTTCAATCTCCAGAGTTTTGTACATAAATTCCATTGACTAAATTTGTTCTGGTTATCTTATATAGAGTGAAAAGACAAATGAATAAATATGGACTTGCATGAGGACGCAAATCTGAAACAACGAATGTCTATAACATACTTAAAAATACTAAAAATTGTCAATGGACAGAATGTTTTTTACTGTTCGTTAATTGATGTACATATTGAAGTATAAAAGTTAATCAGTTGTGTGGTACGAAGTATTGAATCACTGCATCGGTTTTCTCAAATGATAAATGGTAAAATATGTCAAATCCTTTCAATCTTATTATACTTATGAAACTTTCAAATTTATGCACAGTGGAGTTACGCACCTTACATTATTACTTTTTAAAGTTTTTTTGATCAGACATTTATTCAACTTTTACGTTGTTTTAACAACGATTTCAATGTTACCATTTACTCTGATTTCTATTGTCTTTTGTAATAAATTTCCAATGCCATTTTTCAATGCACAAGTGTAGTATCCTCCATTGATTCGTTGGACTTCTTTGAAATGTAAAGATCCCTCTTTATCAACAAGTCCTTGGAGATCTTGAAACAAAGAGCCAGAATCCCTCCCTAAAAATTAAGAAGGTTCTCAAACAACATAGAAACAATGAAATGCTAGTGTGTATTAAATCACAAGGTATTTTATCTTAATTTTAAGAGATCATTCAAATGACCTTCTAAGTATAATAAGTTTCATGGTATTCTGATTTCAACAGTCAATGGTGGAAATACCATAACGAGCTATTCATTAAAACAAATCTTTAAAAATTATCTAACAGAAAGAAATAAACTTTACAATCATCTAATGTAAAGTTACGTTACGAATTTGAACTGGCTTTTTAATTATTCATTATTTATAGATGTACATGCTGGTTAATAAAAGTGGCTTACGAGATTCCTTAGTCCAAACAATAGAGGGCGCTGGAGAACCGTAGGCTGAACAAGGAATTTCAACAGATTCTCCAACAGTAACCCGAACATCAGAAGGTTCAATTTTCCATGTTGGTGGCCCTAAAATTTAGTAAAGAAACAATAATGGAGAGAACTTAAATTGAATTATTCAATAACTTTGGTATTTATACATTTAAAAAAATGATTTCTACAATAACGAAAAAAAATAAAAAATACTGCGCTTAAACATATTCTATAGTTCAAGGTAGTTTAAAAACAAAACAACTTTTCTTCTTTTCCGGCGATTTCACTTTGAAAAATAAAACATTTAGAACTGTCTCGAAGTTGGAATCACAAGGATATTACGAAGTATTACGTAAGTTGGAAATAACAAAAATTGTTACTAACCTTGTACTGATAAAATTGCCGCGTGGCTGTCAATTTCAACTCCATTCTTTACAACACAAGTATAATTTCCCGAGCTTGTAACTTTTACGTTTTTCACTTCCAACAATGAAAATTTAGGCTGTGTGATAACAGACCAATCAGTTCCGGAAACAATGGGCAATCCGTCTTTTAACCACCTAAACTTAGTGTCTCCATCTCCTTCATCTAGACCACAAACTATCTGAACACTCTTTCCTTCTTCTACTGTCTCGGGAAACTTAAAAGGGCGAATTTTCAAAGGCACTACGGTGGAAAATATTAATATGAAGCAAACGTAAAACATTAAACAAAAACACTGTAGCTTATGAACAAAAATAACATTAACGAGCTTTCAATATTATTAAAACGGTTTACTATGAGTATTAGAGACACCTCTTCACATACCAGTGGTATCGTCATGTAGCATAACAATGCAGTTAGGTATTCTACGTAATATTACATATTCTTACCAAGAAGTGTAGGGTTTGTAACTTTAAAAATGGGTTATATATATATATACGGAATATTCATGGTATTTGGTAGCTACAAAAGTAAAAAACCGGCAACTTTAAACGTGTGATTTTTTAAATTAGTTAGCAAAAACAAAACACAAAAGGAGAATACAAAATAAAAGTTACTAAGCAATTATACATACCCTGGGCGTTGACTAACACCACATATGGAATGTTCACCAAGACATCTACCATCCTCAACAGGAGCATCACACGCAGCGAATAATTCCGAGACTTGCAGAGAGTCTTCATAGATGATTAATCGTTCCAAACCCACTTTAGAAAAATTATTCCCTTACTCCATTTTACGCGTTTTATCTAGAATTTGGTATTTATACAATAAAAAACGTGGAAAATATATACGATTTTACAACATTGCTAACGGAACATTGCAATGAAAGACAAATCTGTAGGTTCATCATAATATGCTCTAAGAATATGGCGGTATCAATCCAGCGGGAAGAAACTTGGTAATTACAAAACAGCGCCACACATCGTCATATGTTAGAAACGTAAATAGCTTTAAAATATCATAAAATATATCTCTGTGGTTTTCACAGTGTTAGACTAACAGCACCAAAATAAATGGAAAACGCAACAACATTTTTCTCACCTAAGACCCAATGTGTGAGACAAATAAACGTTATCAGCTACTTTTGATAATGGTGTGACATATCTACTGATTTCCACCTCGAAATAGTTCGATAATAATTTTGTTGAAAACATTATCTGAAAGTAAAAGTAACTTGTGAAAATGTAATTTAAATAGCACACTTATGAAATCATAGCAACACACCTGTAATTGGCAAGATATATACTTGTAAATAAACAAAGACAGACCACACTATAAGTCTTTTTTTTTTTAGAATAGGTTGAGCAAACGTAGTAATGTGTTTTATTGTTGAAGTTTATCCGATTATATTCTTGCAGTATTTTACCCTTGATATTGATTTGTATTGTTTTTCTCAGTGCTTCTTTAATGCCATTCTTCAGTGTACATGTGTAGTAACCCCCGTCGTTTCGTTGGACATCTTCTATGTGTAATATTCCGTCACTATCAATATATCTTTCGGAATCTTCACTAAAAGCACCAGAGAATCTATCTAGGAAATCGAAAATACGTTTGGTATCACAATAAACCTCATTAATTATTTTATATTTCCATAACAATTGATAAATAGTTAAAGTTAAAAATAATTTCATACAAATAACTTATAATTTAAAACATTATAATATCAGGCTCAACAAACAAGACATTAGAGTAACATTGGAATATTGTTTCTTGTCCTGAATATGAATTATAGGGTATTGAGACAAAACATACAATAGTAACCTCGGTTGTGGTAAATATTTGAGCAAATTTGGAACTTGTTTGGTAAATATTAACCAAGAATCTTCGAAAACGTCAGTGAATGAAATCTCTTACCAATTTCTTTTGTCCATACAACAGAGGGAGCTGGAGAGCCATAAGCGGAACATGGAATTATAACTGAGTCTCCAACTATGATCTCCACATCAACAGGTTCTTCTTTCCATGTTGGTGGTCCTAAAATATGATAAAATAAAGAAATGAAAATATAGTAATTTCTGTTCTGTGAGCTCATATGTTAAAAATTATCTTTATTCATTAAAGCTGAATTCATGAAAATACTAAAATGTATAATGCTTATTTTCCTAAAGTGTAGATGTAATAAAACACACGTTCTTGGGATGTTTTCTATTTTACCTCTTTGAGTAACACCACACACAGTGATTAAGATAAAACTAGTGTGTTCTCTAAACATGTTGTATTGATAAAGAAACCTGGAGGACACGTACAAACTAACTGGCGTTATTTATTCTAAATAATAAGCTTTAGGACTTAAGTTTTCTTTTGTTTTAATGTGATATTACAGTATGAACAGTATATCACATACCTTGTACTGATAAGACCGCTGTGTGACTGTCCTTTCCTTCGGTATTCTGTGCGACACAAGTGTAATTTCCAGAACTAACAACTTTCACATGATCCAGTTCTAACACTGAAAATGTTGAGTGAGTAATGATAGTCCAGCGAGTTTCTGAAACAATCGGCACTTCGTTTTTAAACCATGTAAAGTGCACATCTTCGAATCCTTCCTCTAAACCACAAACGACTTGAACTTTTTTACCTTCTTCTACTGTTTCAGGGAACTTAAAAGGTCGAATTTTCAGAGGCACTGGAAAAAAAAATTCTTATATCAAACAAACCGTAAAATACCCATCGAGAAATATATAAATGACAATCATGATTTAATATGATTCGTGTTTGCCAATCACGGAACCATTTGTGCACACTCTCCATTTTCTTTCAACATAAATTCTGACGCAAAGGTTCAGATTAAACATTTATTTTTATTTCGTTGATATATTGTATGCCACAAGGTATTTAATTATATCACATAAGTTGTTTCTCAGTATTCGCAATATGAATAGAATCACTGGTGTAAAGCCTTATTTCATTGGAAGTAAGTTAAGCACTCTTAGACTGAATATTTCTGGAGTATCACTAACATTTTCAAAAATTCAAATCTCAAAATACCATTATCTTTAAGAAGTAAATGCATATTAGACCAAATACTAAATATAAAATTTTGCGCACTTAACTGCTATATCTATATAGTCACGACACAGACAGAGATATACAATTATGGTTATATGTTCACAAAACCTTTTGAATTTATATATATGATAACAAGTATAAAAATAGTTGAATAATTACGTAATAAGTACTTACCCTGAGCATTGGCTGCCTGGATGTAAGTAGTGTTCAGCAAGACTACATCAAACATCCTCTGTAGAAACAGCAGGGACAGGGTACAACTCAAATATTTCACGAGAGTCATAATAGATTAATTACTCGCTACAGCCAAACTTACACCTTAAGTATCAAGAGATTTGGTATAGATAAACGAGTCGACAATACGTATGACTTCATAACGCTGCCTCACGAACACCAGGAGTAAATGCAATTCTGTTTGATCATCATAATATGCCTTCAAAATATGGCGATATCAATTCAATGAGAAGGGACTTATCTTAACTCAGCGCCACACATCGTGATATGTTGAAATGAAAATAATTGAAAATTTTCAATAAATATAGTGAATATCTAAATAAAATGTGCTTCTGTGCGTTTGAGAGTTTTAGACTATGAATAAATACTCATATTTCATATGAATGCAAATGAATTATATTTCTTATTGACAGTAGCACAAATAATCTTATTCTCTTCACTCTTGTTTTTAAATTCAACTCCAAAATATATTTTTGAACAAATAACAAGATATTTTATCGTATTTCTGAAACCTCAGGAAAACAACAACGTAAAAAATGTATTTCCAAGAGTAAAACGATTTTTTTTCAAAATGAAAAGTCATGTCAGTTTATGTTTTTTCCAACAAGAGAAAATAAGTTATAAATAGTAATGCAATCCACAGAGTTATTCCAATTAAACTCTAATACTGGATACCCTTTATATTGATTTTGATCGTTTTTTCCAGGGGACTCCCTATGCCATTCTTTAGTGTACAAGTGTAATAGTCTCCATCGTTTCGTTGTACGTTTTCTAAACGTAAACTTCCATCTTTAACAACAAGTTCTTGGGAGTTCTCGACAGAAGCACCAGATGAGCCCTCTAGAAATTTCAGAATATAGTTAATATTTTTGTGAATACCACTAATTACGTAAGTTTCTAAACAACAGAAATATTTTAACACTAGAATTAAAGTAATATTGGAATCTTTTCATGTAATATTGAATATGATATATGGAACTTAAATAATCACCTACAATATTAACCAATGGTTCTTAGAATCCTACATTTGAAATGTGAAAATAGGCTTAAGTTTTCCACTTTGTTAACAAATTCTAATATAGAATCGTTTGAAACATGAGTGGATAAATTTGCTTACCACTTCCTTTCGTCCACACAACAGAGGGTGCTGGAGAACCATAAGCAGAACATGGAATGATAACAGATTCTCCGACTACAATCTCCACGTCTGCAGGTTTTTCTTTCCACGTTGGTGGCCCTACGTTTTAACAAAAGAAGGAAACAGTAATATAATGTTTCTTTTTTTCTTCAAACTACAAGTGTGTATGCACGTTACAAATTATTATTACTAGTTTAATAATAAAAAACTACAAGTGTAAAATATTCCTGTTTAATATTCTGAAATTTTATATTAATCAAATACTTTAAAAAAGATGCTAAAGGCTAATATGGATCAAGGTAGAAGCGACGTGCCTCAAATATAGATTTAGAGATGTGACACTTGAATTTAATTTTTTATTTCAGAAATATGGATGCCACTGACCTTGTACTGATAAAACCACTGTGTGGCTGTCTTTCCCTACAGCATTTCTTACGACACAAGTGAAATTTCCAGAACTAGAAACTTTCACATTATCGACCATCAACACAGAAAAAGCTACGTGTGTAATAATGGTCCAGCGAGCTTCCGAAACAATAGGTATGCCATCCTTTAACCACATGAACTCAACATCACCATCACCGTCCTCTAGACCGCAAGTTATCTGGACTTTTTTTCCTTCTTCTACAAACTTAGGAAGAATGAAAGGTCGAATTTTCACTGGAACTGGAAGAACACCCAAATTTAGCAGTAATAAAGCATTAGTCTGATAATTTAATATGAAACATATAAAAAAAATTTCAAAGGCTCTTGAAATAATTCAGTGGATGTGACAGGAAAGCAAATACCTCATCAGTTAAGTAGTTTTTTTATAGTAACATAATATTTTCTAATATACCCCCTGTTATACATTTCCTAAATTTTTGGATCTAACATTTCGAATGTGATGGAACAAAGACTCGAAATAAACAAAACGATAAAGTATTTCAAAACACGTTAAAAGCATGAACAAATATAATGAAGAAAAATTCTTTTAATGATCAATGTATTTTTTATTAGAGTACAAAGTTATTATGGTTATCACACAATACAAAATCTAATTATATAATGTATTATTACCTAAAGCCAAGGTGAGACGAACCATGAACACGGCTTGTGCCCATGTTGGTAACCATTGTGTCCTCATGAGGGAGCGCTTGCAAGATGAATGGTCGCGTAAATACTCCTTAAGATAAAGTTTTTAATCAGATTCATGTAGAACCACGTTAAAAGCGGAATATTTGAAGCACAAACATATATCTTTTACCAAACAACCAACTAGCGGATATAACTAGAAAATGGCTCCTGAAATGAATGCCGCAACTACAATTTTTCTTACTATTACACTAGCGCCACACGTTGTCAAAACTGAAAGTTACTAAAAGATTAAGTAAAACATAAAATATTTGCTGGAAGAATTTACAAAACAACAACAGAAAACACGCTTCAGAGCAAAAGCTAGGCTCCTGTGTAGGATGAAGCACATTAAAGATATGAATTAACCGTTTGCCCCAAAAGGCATTTTGCCATGTATAATTTAGTATCTTAAAACATTGAAACACTTCTGTAAGGGCAAAACAACAACACCAATTTGATAAGTAAACATATCTTTAAGATATATAAACAGATTATTCCTACATACAGAAAACGAGTTCTTTGTAGAGAACATTAAATTCACGTAAGCACTGAACTCAATTATACATCAATTAATCGACTTCTGAAAATTAATCAAACGAGAAATGAAATGACAAGAACGACTTGAAATGATGATAACGTTTTAATGACAATGTGAAATCACTTTTGTTATCAAGAACTTGCACAATATATCGTTCCAGTACGGCTTTATACTCTGAGAGATAAAGATACACCAACAGCACTCACATCATGCTTAAATGTATTGGTATTTACCTCGTACAATAATGTGTATAGATTTTTGGAGATTTTTCCC